AGAGGGGGCCCTGCCCCATGTAGTCAGCACACTCAGCACACCTCCTTCCCCCCTCCAGTCTATGGTGGTGGTGGTGGAACACAGGCCCATCAGTATAAGAGTGACCTGTCGCCGGAGTGGCCCTTGCTGCGGGCACAGATGGGGCCCCCAGATGGCTGAACACGGCGCAGGGGCAGCGGCCTGCGCGCCCAGGCTTGGGCCCCCCCCGCCCCCCCCAAAAGGCCGCGCACCGAAGGTCACTCTTGCCCAGGGTCACTCTTTCGCGTGGCCGAAAACGGTGGTCAGCCGGAGCGCCGGATCCTGCAGGATGCTGCAGCGCCAGGCGTGCATGGACCCGGGATCGGGTGCAGGATTCTGCAGGATGCTGCAGGATCCTTGGCGTTGACCCGGGTTTGGGTGCAGGATCTTGCGGGACCTTGCAGGATTCTGCAAGGCTTGACCGACCCGGGTCTGGATGGACCCGGGTCAGAAGATCCCTGACAGGGCTCATTTCGATTCCTCCGATTCGATTCGATTCGGCTTCGACGGCTTCCGATTCCAATTCGATGCGGCGTCGGACTCGGATTTGGATTCCGATGTCTGCATAGGCCTTCCTGCTCTGCCGATGTCAGCTGATTCGACTTGTCTCCCGACTTGGCTGCCGACTTCTGCCGATCCGACTCCTTTTGATCGGCGATCCGACGTATCGATTCCATTCTGGGCTCTCCTGGTTGGCCAGGGATCCCGCTGCTGGCGCAAGAAGCGTCCATCCACAGACGTTTCGCCTCGACGGTGCCGCCACTTGACCCTCCGATTTCAATGCTGCGTGCGCAGCCGTTGTCTGGGTGCAGGCATTGGCATAGAAAACGCCCCAAAAATCCACCGCCGAGGCAGCCCCGTTTTCAACATTGAAATCGTAGGGGGTCACACTCGAACCCCATCCTTACCCCCCACGATCTCTGAGGGGGAGGGGGAGTTTCACTTCGTACGGGAGCTCCCAAGCGAAGTGACTCCCCCCCTCCCCCCCCAGAAATCGTGGGGGGCAGGGGTAGGGTTCGCATGTGGCCCCTCTAAATTGGGAACGCGGGGGGGTTCTTTTCTGAACTCGGCAGCGCTGTTCATTGTGCCTGGGGTGTGTGTTTTATTACGCCCACGGCGGCCAGGCGGTGCCAGGCATCGGCTACGCTTAAGTCGGACCTGTCCCTCTACAGGAGGGATGTTCAAAGATAATCTAAAAGTAGCCTGGGGATGTTTTTGTTTTTGCGATTTGGAAGTACTTATTGAATACGTTTTAAAAGTATTTTCAATCTTTCGTCCAAAACCGGCCTGTAGGGGGGCACGCCCGACCGAAGGCTACGCGTAAGAGTGACCCTTGGCTGCAGTGACCTCTGGTTCGGGCCCACAGGGGTACGGTCGGGGCGCTGAAGAAGGAACCCTTTGCGTTGGGGAGGGGCTCCGTGTTCCTTGCTTGTCTCACAGTTTGCCTTCGGTGTTCCTGAGGCTTTCCATGGGAAAGCGAAGTTTAACTCAAGGGAGGAAAAACCACCCAGACCGGACAATTGGCGTCTACTGAATTGCCCTGGGCGTTTACCCAACAGCACTGCCCTCTTCGATTCCTTCTTCGGGCGCGTTCACTCAAGGCCTCGCGTGTCGGGGTGGTTATTACCGGGGTGGATTTTTTCCGTTCTATTAACCGAATGGAGGATGACGATCAATAAATGACCGGGGGTCGTGTTCACGCGGCGACGCCCGGGATGACGATTAGAAAAAACCGGCCGCGGGTTGGAAAACTATTTTTTTGAATCGTTCTCCTCCAGTCAGAAAACTGTGCAGAAATCGCAGGCAACTATTGTTTTAAACCGTTCTCTCCAATTTTTTATTACTCGCCATCCCGCATTATGGGAACAAGGGGCCCCGTTCCTTCTTTGGGGTTCCTCAGGTCGACGCCCCGACGGTACCGCCGGCACCTGCCGGCGCGCCTGGGCCGCGCAGGCTCGGCTCCCGGCCCCCCGCGGCCGCCCGACAGCCGCGCACCAGAGGCCACCCTTGCCCCCAGGGGCGGCTCCCACGCGCAGCCGGCAGGGGGGCATCGTTCCGCCTCCTGACGAGCGGGGGCCGAGGAGGAGGAGGAGGAGGAGGAGGAGGAGGAGGAGGAGGAGGTGGGTCGAGGAGAAGGAGGAGGAGGAGGAGGAGGAGGAGGAGGAGGAGGAGGAGGAGGGTGAGGAGGAGGAGGAGGAGGACGAGGAGGAGGAGGAGGAGGAGGAGGAGAAGGTGGAGGAGATGGACGAGGAGGAGGAGGAGGAGGAGGAGGAGGAGGAGGTGGGACGAGGAGGAGGAGGAGGAGGAGGAGGAGGAGGAGGAGGGTCGAGGAGGAGGAGGAGGAGGAAGAGGAGGAGGAGAAGGAGGGTGGATCGATGGTCGAAGATGTTGTTGGGCGTTTCTGGCGGCGTGCGGGGTGGCTCCTGGAGGCCTTGGGACCTCCTCCTCCTCCTCCCCATCTGCCCTCCCGATGCCCCCTCCTCCCTTCACTTCTACCCCGTTCCGTCTTCTCAGAGGTGAACGCCCTTCCCTCGCGGTTGCTCTGGGGTAGTTCACCTTGGCGCACGATCGCAGTGAAAAACAACTGCACTGTGTAGAACGTCGTACAACTGCCGATCGCCAACACGCCATAAACCAGGCAACGCTGAAAGGGTCAGTGTAGAACATCCTGCAATGGTCGGTCCCGAGCGTGCCGTAAACCAGCAGCGGAAGACATTCGGATGCTTTTTGCTTCACCGTTTGTGTTGAAACCCGTTAGCGCGCCGTAGACCAGCGCCGCACGGGCCTTGCAGTGGCTGTCTTCTTCATCCCCAATTGTCCGTGGGTGGCGGCCGCAGTAGCGTGCCGTAGACCAGCGCCGCACTGCTCCTCATGTCCCAGACAAGGTCCAGGTCTGTAGGCGTACCAGTAGATCTAGGCCTAGGCCGCAGACGAGGTCCAGGCCTGTAGGCGTACCAGTAGATCTAGGCCCAGGCCGGCGTTCTTGGTATGTGCTTGGCCTGGCTTCAGAAGGCATGCCGCGTCGGGCATCCCGTGCGCTGTACCCACCAGTGCACGAGCCCGAAGACACATTAGATGACCCTGTGAAGCAACGCCAACTCAGCCACAGGTCAGCACCCCAGGGCACCTTCCCACTGCCTTTTGCCGCAGCGGCATGAGTGGCCGCGGCGGGGGGTGGGGCTCGGAGTGCAAAGAGCGCTTGCCTGGGCAGTCACCCAGCCAGGCAGCCACCACCGCCAGGCTTTCGCCCGGCGCCCGTGAGCCCCCTTTCCCTCGTTTTCGCGTTTCTGGGGCCTCCTTGGGGGCCCTTTTCACTGCGGCGGGATTCGCCTCGGAATCTGGGTGAGAACGCACATCAGGAGAGGTCTGGGCAGCATCGGTATAGTGTTGTCCTTTTTTTTTGTTTCTCTCTCTCTCTCTCTCTCTCCTTGGAGCCAGAAAGCTGCCGATGCCGTCAGTCACGCGCCCCGTCAGCTGAGTCAATGTGTCTATTCCTCTTGCGTTCGAGGTAGAGGGACCGTCAATGTGTCTATTCCTCGTGTGTTCGGAGTCAATGCTCTTGTGTCAATGCCGTCTTCAGGAGGAGGGACGAGGAGGAGAAGAGCAAGGGCCGAGGGAGGGCGCATGGAGTGAGAAGGCAGAGCGGACATGGGGCATCTGGCTTTCCCGGTCCTTCCGCTGCTCGCCCTGTGGGCCGCAGAGGCTTCTGCCGACGCTGCTGATCACATCCCCTCCCCTCTCCTCTCGCCTCCTCCCTCCTCTGGCGACGAAGGGGGGTCGGGCGAAGAGGCTGCCCCTTCCAAAGAGCCTTCCCCCTCCCAGTGCCCTCCCCCCCAGGAGGAGGAGGAGGAGGAGGAGGAGGAGGAGGAGGAGGAGGAGGAGGAGGAGGTGGGTCGAGGAGAAGGAGGAGGAGGAGGAGGAGGAGGAGGAGGAGGAGGAGGGTGAGGAGGAGGAGGAGGAGGAGGAGGAGGAGGAGGAGGAGGAGGAAGAGGAGGAGGAGGAGGAGGAGGAGGAGGAGGAGGAGGAGGGGAGGGGGAGGGGGAGGAGGAGGAGGAGGGAGGAGGAGGAGGAGGAGGAGGAGGAGGAGGAGGAGGAGGAGGAGGAGGAGGAGGAGGAGGAGGGAGGAGAGGAGGGAGGAGGAGGAGGAGGAGGAGGAGGAGGAGGAGGAGGAGGAGGAGGAGGAGGAGGAGGAGGAGGCGGAGGGGGCGGAGAGGGACCAGCTGCATCCTCGGCCCGGGTGCCTGCTCGTTCGTCCGCCTCCTCTGGCCCGGCCGGAGGGGCCCCCTCGCCTCCACGGGCCTCGGGGAGGTGGACAGACCTCCTCCTCCTCCTCCTCCTCCTCCTCCTCGTCCTCCTCCTCCTCGTCCTCCTCCTCCTCCTCTTCCTTCTCCCCCTCCTCCTCCTCCACAGACCTCCTGCCCCGACACGTCGATCAAGGAGTTGGCCGTTTTCGGTTCGCGAGAGGGCGCCGCGGCCGTCATTCTTGCGGGTCCAGGTCCGTCGATTTCGGCCCCAGGTCGTTTTCACTAAGGGGAGGTTTGCTACAGGGAGGTTTGTCCACCGCCGATGAAAAGCCTCCCGGGCCGTCCTGGGGGCTTCTGGGGCCGTTCTGGGGCCATCTTGGAGGCCTCTTGGGCGATCTTTGAGGGCTCCTGGGCCGTATCGGGCCTTCGGATGGCCGAAAAGAAGCGAATGTCGTTTGCACTAAGGCGAGGTTTGCCAAAGGGAGGCTTGCCCACCGCCGAGCGGAGCGGCGCGGCTCGAGTACAGTCGGGGCCCTGAGGAAGGAACCCTTTTCGTCGGGGAGGGGCTCGGTGTTCCTTAGTTGTTTCACAGCTTGCCTCAGGAGTTCCTTATGTTTTCGATCGGAAATCGAAGTTTAACTTGAGGGGCCTCGTTCCTTATTTAGGGTTCCTTAGGTCAACGCCCCGACTGTGTGCGGTGGGGTCGGGCGCGCGTGAAGCACGAGCGGGCCTCCGCAGAGTGGCTCGAGGGACCGCGGTGGGGGCCAGCGGGCAGCGGCCGCCCGTCGTCGGGCGCTGCGTGGTTGGGGGGGGGGCGATCGCCGGGAGGGGGAAACACACACACACAGACACAAGGAAGCGTCGATTCCACGGAGAAGGTAGGAACATAGGGGAAGTGGGGGGGGGAGGACGAGAGCCCAGAGAATGTGGAAAAGTATGGGGAATCCTGGGATTCGTGTCCATTCCTTTGTGCGTCCCAGGGCCCCTTCAGATCAACGAGGGGTGGAGAGAAAGGTGCACCTCGGGCCCAAACAGGGGCCCGACAGGTGCACGTCCCTTCGCCCTCCCGCCTTCCCAGACATCCAGCTGCTCCAATGTTTTCGATGCGTTGGGCCCTGGAGGTCTGGACCACTTCTCTAGGGCCGGTGTTTCGTCCTGTTTCCTGACGCTCCCGAGGCCCGGCGAGGGCCCCCCGAGGCCGACAACGGCCCCAAACCGCCTGCTCCAATTTTTTCGTGGAGCGTCGCATCTCAGGGTTATCGCCCCCCCATGGGGCAGCGCCCAAGTCCGAATGGCACCGGCCGCGCCCCCGTCGGACGCGGCTGGGGCCACGGCACGGCGCCGGAGGTCCCCCGCGCGGGCGGCGGGAGCCTGCCGATGGCGGCGGACGGCGGCGAGGGCGCGCTGCTGCCCTACGTGCCGGACACGCTGCAGGTCCCCGAGCTGGCCGTGCTGAACGTGGTGAAGCCTCCGCTGCCGGTGCTCGGGCACCGCAAGGAGGTGGTGCGGAGCGTGCGCGAGAACAAGGCGAGCGACGCAGGGCAACGGGCTCGATTGTGCCCGCATTCGCGCGCAAGCTGCCTGCGCAAGATGGCGCGGGATCGCCCTTGTTTCCGATGTGGCGTGCCGCGCTGGCGGCCCGCGTGAGCCGCCGCAGAAGGTCGCTACACAGCATCCTGTGTAGACCCGTTTATGTTCGTCTCGCAGGTGACAATCCTCTCGGGGGAGACGGGCAGCGGGAAGTCCACGCAGGTGCCCCAGTTCCTGCTCGAGGAGGCCGACCTCGTGCCGGAGGGGATGCGCATCGTCGTGACGCAGCCGCGGCGCATCGCTTGCATCACGCTGGCGGAGCGCGTCGCGCATGAGCGCGGCGAGGCCGTGGGACAGACGGTGGTCGGGGGGCCCCTGACGGTGTGATGGCCCACCCGCGTTGTGATTCGGTGGGGATTCAGGGTCACCACACGGTTTTGGGACTCGGGTCGTTCTCCGAGGTCGTCTCGTGCGACTGGGGCCTCCGAGGTCCAATGCCGCGCGGTGACGGACCGCGCTGGGAGGTCATCGGGGATGCCGAGGTCACCACGCTGTCTGTCACCACACGGTTCTGCGGGCCCGCAGGTGGGATACCAGATCCGCTTTGTGAACAACACTTCGCCCTCGACGCGCCTGGTCTTCTGCACGACCGCGGTGCTGCTGCGGCAGCTGCACTCCGACCCGTGCTTCGACAGCGTCGCCGTGCTCTGCGTGGACGAGGTGCACGAGCGGGACGTCCAGACGGAGTTCCTGCTGACCGCCGTGCGCGAGCGGCTGCGCCAGGTCGACGCGCGGAAACACGGCACAAACATCATGCCTCGGAGGTCCGCGTGGATGTCTTAGATCGGCGTTGGGCCACCCTGGCGGCGCCTCCAGCGCCGTCTCCCCGCGCCGAGGAGGTGGGCCCAGCTCTAGTCCAAGGAGTCCGCGAGGGCCTCCGACAAAAAATCCGTTCATGCACTTCTTGTGTTTTCTACCAGGGGGAGATGTCGTTGAGGCTGGTCCTGATGAGCGCCACGCTCCAGACGGACACCTTCGTGAGCTTCTTCGAGGGCCTCAGGGGCTCCTGGCTTGGCAGCCTGCCGCCCGACCCCGACCCGAGGTCGTGCATCACGGTGGAGGGCCGGATGTTCCCGGTGAAGGAGCTCTTCTTGGAGGACGCGCTCGAGTGGACCGGCCACCGGCTCGTGGGCAGCGCGCACGCCAAGCCGAAGGCTGTCGACGCGGTGTTGAGCCGCCTGGCGGGCGCCAGGACACAGCGGGCTTACTCGCAGGAGACGCTCAGGTCGCTCGCGGTCTACAGCCCCAAGGATCAGAGGAGGACCATGTACTGATACCGCTACCCGTGCCTAGGTTCGCCTTTGTGCGCCTCCTGGTGGGCCCTCGTCGCCATGGCTGGATTCGCTTTTGAATTCTGCTCAAAACGCACCCCAGGAAAGGTCCAGGGAGTAGCGGTACAACCCAAAGGAGGTGTACCTCGACTTGATGGTAGATCTGATCCGCTTGTTCCACAAGACCTCCTCGCGGCTGGGCGACAAGAACAAGAGCGGCATCTTGGTGTTCCTCCCTGGTTGGGCCGACATCGCGTCTATGCAGGCCAAGTTGCATGGGGAACCCGGCCTCTGGACACTGCCGCTGCACTCCCAGATTTCCCCTGAGCAGCAGCAGAGCGTGTTCCTTGATCCTCCGGCGGGATACCGCAAGGTAGTGCTGAGCACCAATGTGGCGGAAACGTCTGTCACCATCGACGATATCGTTTACGTGATCAACAGTGGTGTCATGAAGGAGAGCGTCTTCGACGCCGACCGGCAGTTAGGAGCCCTGGAGGTGACGCTCAACACGTGGGCGAACGCAACGCAGCGAGCAGGCCGCGTGGGGAGGACGCAGGAGGGAGTCGTTGTGCACATCTTCCCCCGCTGGCTGATGAAGGAGCTGACGAAGTGGCCAGTCCCCGAGATGCTCAGCAAGTCGTTGGAGGAGGTGGTGCTGCAGCTGATCGCCCTCGGGCTCGGGGACCCGCACGACGTGCTGGCGAAGTCGCTGTCCCAGCCCTCGGTGGAGGCCATCGAGCACGCGGTGTGGCTCCTGCAGGAGATGGGCATGGTCCAGGACAGGCAGGGCCTCCGAGCCGGGGACGCCCTGCTGCCCCTGGGGCGGTGGCTGGCGCCCATCCCGCTGCACCCGATGTCCGCCAAGGCGCTGCTCTACGCCTCCCTGTTCGGGGTCCTGCTGCCCGTGGCCGCCATGGTCGCCTTCCTGAACCTGAAGAGCCCCTTCCCGCAGCTGGACAGCGGCGACAAGGTGAGGGGAGGCTCCAAGGCTGCGTTCTGCCGTGGCCGCGCCTCCGACCACTTCGCCACGGCCGCGGTGTACCTGGACTGGCGGGCGCAGGCGGCCGCGGGGGTGGGCGACGCCTTCGTCGAAGAGCACGGCCTCAGCCACGAGACACTGGAGATGGGGGACCAACTCGTCAAGTCTCTCCTGCGGCTGATGACAGAGGAGTATGAGTACGATGGCGACGATGCGTGCTTCGCAGACGATGCCGACACGGGCACCTGGACCAGCGAGGCGGTGTTCGACGACCCCAGGACGTGGACGCTCTGCAAGGCCGCCCTGTGCGCTGGCTTCTCCCCGCTCTTCGCCCGCTGCGGCGCGGGGAGGTTTGAGTCGAACTGCAACGAGGACCTCCACGGTCACAGCTCCAGCGTCAACGCCGGCTACCGCCCGGTGGGCAACCCCTACACGTCCAGCTCCAGCCTGGACGACTGGGTGGTGTACACCGACATGATGAAGCTGGGCCGCGTGAGCATCCTGGAGAGCACCGCGGTGAGCGCGAGCTACCCGCTGCTCTTCTCCCGGGTGCTGAGGCCGACCTCGGACGCCAAGCAGCCGGGCCAGATCGACTTCGACGGCTGGCGCGGCAACCTGAGCGGAGGCGATCAGGCGCTCGCGGCCCTTCAGCGCGCGCGGCGCTGGCTGTCCGACCAAGTGGAGCGAGCTCTTGAGACCCAGAGTGCTGGGAGGCTTCCAGAGTCGCACCTGAATCGCATAGCCGCCACGCTGGGACACAGGAGCCTCGCTGTCAAAGGTGTGCGCGGAACCAAGCAGCTGCGCATCGGCGCCAAGGAGGCGTCGACCATCTGGCTGGGCAACCTGCCCGACGAGGTCGACCAGGAGGACGTCGAGGCGCTGTTTGCGACCTGTGGCGCAGTCTATGAAGTCAGCCTGCCCACGGACCGCGAGACTGGCAGGAGGAGAGGTTTCGGCTACGTGACAATGAAAAGCCGGGAGGAAGCGCAGTGCGCTTTCCAGGAGCTGAACGGAGTGCAGATGCAGAATAGGCGCCTTCGCCTCGAGTTGAAGGGTATCCAGGGCACCGCGATCGGGCATACGTCTAAATGGGGCCGCGCCGCAGCGAAGGTGGATGTTGTTTGCGGAGAGCAGCAGCCTAGGAATAGGTGGATACAGCCTCCGACGAAGCAGGATGTCAACGAGATCCGCAGCACCTTCCGCGTCATGGCCGAACAGAAGTCATCGCGCTTATCCTACAGGACGCGGGCAATCTTGATATCCATATTGACTGAGTCTTGGACTTTCTGGGAAGTGGCACCAATTGGCCGAGGCGCAGTGGATACGGATAAACATCTAACCTCCAGGGGCAATATTCTTATCCATAGCCATTGCGCCTCTGGTTTCTGGGGAGAGGATGCCGAAACGCCAAGACGCAGCGGATGTGGATACTAGCCGGCCGCTCTGCGGTTGATCGGGAGTTTCTGTATATAGAAGCAGGGGCGTGTGTTTGTGGGCGAGAGGAGAGTCAGAGCGAATATGGGTGATGGATGTAAGGAACGCAAAGCTGCGGAATCGAACACACACACACACACACTGTGCGAGACCTGAGCGTACACGTTGTATCCAGCCCCTCCCGCCCCCTTGCTCGCATCCTCTATTTTCAATTGCTCGCATCCTCTACTTCCCCCTCGGTAGTACCTTCGAGCCTTGATCACTGGAGGTCTGTGGATGTCAGCCTTCCTCGTCCTCCTGGTCCACCTCAGAGGGCGTTTGCAAACGTGGGCCCCAGGCAGTGACCATCCATTTGCCTAGGAGGCATTTACCATTGGCCCTGAACCTCCAGGCATCCAGCTCATCCCGCTCCCATGCTCGCAACCTCCACCTTCTTCTCCACACCGTCTCCAGAAATCTCTGGAGGTCGCATGTGTCATTGGCCCTGAACGTTCAAGCCTCCAGCCCCTCACGCTCCCATGCTGGCAACCTCCACCTTCTCCTCCGCATCCTCCCAGGAAATCTCGTGAGGTCCCTGGAGGTCGTTCCTCCTTCTCCTCCTCCTCCTCCTTCTTTATTCCTTGTCCTTATAACTAACTTCTCCCTGTCGCACCCCGAAGCCAGTTTTTAGGGCTGGCTGGGCGTTTCGTCTGAGATTTCTTTACCATTTATGGTTCTGAAGCTTAAACTAGCTTCACAGATGGAGGGTGGGTCGTTTTCAAACTGTGGCTCTCGCCTTAGCGCGGCGCACATTCGCTTTAAAACATTGCAAGAGCTTCACGGAGTGAGGGCGGTTGGTTTTCAAACTGTGGATCTCGCTTTCAGCGTTTCGCACATTCGTTTTAAACATGTGCAAGGGCTTCACGGATTGAGGGCGGGTGGTGTTCAAAATGTGGTTCTCGCTTTATCGCGGCGCACATTCGTTTCAAACATTTGCAAGAGTTTCACAGGTTGAGGGCGGCTCTTTTTCAACATGTGCCTCTCGCCTTGGTGCCGCGCACATTCGTTTTCAACATGTTCAAGAGTTTCACGGATTCCCATCATCAGCGTGCCACAGACGGTGTTTTGGAAGGATGCAGGGTTATGCAGGCGCAACAGTTTACATTGGTTTTCTGTGTTGAAGTCCTAGGACTGGCGATCAAGGTCGTCAAGGTGCAGCAGTTAGGTTGATCCGTGGCGTTGGAATCCCGAGAGCAATGTGGTGGCATGCTTCAGTGTCTTCAAACGGGTGTCTTCCAACGAGGCAGATCCACCAATGGAAATGAATTGTTGTAAGGGTCTGTGAAGAGGGAGCTTGAAGGGAGGGTTTACGTCAACATCGTTGATGACTCTTGGGTTTACGCTGGTCCTCCTCCTCCTCCTTCTCCTCCTCGTCCTCCTCCCCCTCCTCCTCCCCCTCCTCCTTTTCTTTACGGCAGACGAACATTAGGTGCAATGCCTGCTGCGTCTGTGCGGCGGAAAAGAATGGGGGCCTGTGCTTCAACAGTGCAGACTGAATGAATGCGCCTGGCGGCTACAGGCGTTGAACAGTGTAGGGCCCGGAGTTTGCTGCAGGCACAGGTGAAGCAAGGAACCTCCCCCACCAACACCATCATCGGACCCCCTTTCCAAGGTTCCTCGCCGAGGGAAGTGCAGGTGCCTATGTAGCGATGCCCCTTGGCCCACGTCGTGGGCAGTACCTGAGTCCGCCTGCGTGGCGGGCCCTCTGTGACGGACTAAAGCTCCTCCCCTTCCACCACCACCCGCATTACAACGCACCAGCCTCCCTCGGTTCATCTAGCATGGAGCTTCAGGCTGCTCCTTGGGGTTTCCGGTTCAACCCAAACTCCCTGTTGCTTTTCGTGTATTTTGCATTTTTCTGGTGTGTAGCACCAACCCCAATGGACAAAGTGGCAGGTCGCGCCGGATGCGCGCCTCAATCGTGCGACAATGTAAGCTCCCCAATACACATGTTAATGATATATTAGTAAGCGTGTGTGTATACGTATATATATACATATATATATGTATGTTTGTATATTCATATATGTATGTATGTATGTATGTATGTGTATATATATATAACACCGTTAGATACATGGGAAGGCTGGCGCAGTTTTCACAGGAAGGCCTGGTTGGCATAATGTGTGGCGCAACAGTCTCACTGGTTCGATGCTTTCCTCCTCAACCCCTCTCCTCCTGCTCCACCTCAAGCTTCTCCAAGATGCCCTGTCCGAGGGTCGAAGACAAGGCAGCCGACCCCGAGGAAACATGAATTGCAGTCGGTGTCGCGTCTGGTTGCTGATCTTGATACAGGCCCCTCGTGCAGACCGCGCATGTGAACGAGGGAAAGGATGAATATTATATAAGCTCCGTTTAATACAGTGAAAGGTTGGCGCAATTTCCACAGGTTGGCCTGGTTGGCACCAGTGTGTGGCGCAGCTGTCACACTGGATCGATGCTGTAGCTGGTGCGATACTGCTTGTGTGCCGGCGAGCTGGCGAGGCAAAGTCAAGGATGAGGTGGTGTCCTCCCCCTCCGCCTCTCATGTTCCTCCATCTCTTCCAAAATGCCCTGCTCGAAGTGCGAAAACAATGGCGTTACACGCCCTCGCTGAGGGCAGCCGTTTCCGAGGAAACATGTATTGCAGCCAGTGTCGCGTTTGGCTGCTGATCTTACTCGTGAGTACCATGCATGTGAATGAGGGAAAAGGTAACTAATAACACACATGCGTACGAATCTGTATGAGTCAATGATGCACTTCGTCGGGACGCGTGGGCCAAAGGGTTCCCACGCAAACACTGCTTAGGACATCCAGTGGTGCATGTTATCGTGTAACAATAGCGAGTATTGCAGGCAGCGATTCGGTAGTTGACTTGGCAGCATGAGTGGACCGTTGGGTGATTGATTCTTGCTCAAGAGGGGGCTGTTTGTCAATCGCCCACTTTATCAAATCATCATGGTAGCGTGAGCTGGTGCTCCGCTCTCGCGACACCTGGAGGCAGCGGCAGAGCTGCGCCAAATGCACCCTGCGCAGGCCAGCGAGAGCTGGCACGAAGCGGCGGGCAGCGGGAGATCCGCGCTCCGCCGAGGAGGAGGACGAGGAGCTGCGGCCCGCAAGAAGGCCCATCGTGGACGACGGAACGTGGACACCGTCGACACCCGCGAGGACAACTTGGAATTAAAGCACCGTCTGAAGGCGGCCGAGAAGGCACAAGCTGACTTGGAGGAGAGGCTCGACCAGGGCGCGCCCCGGACTCAGCTGGAGGAGCGAGAGGAGGCTTACACGGAGCGCGTCAGGGACTTCGAAGCTCGCATCGTGGACTTCTACGACGGCAAGAGGCGGCGTGCAGCGCAGCACGCGGCAAACATGGAGGGGGACGTCCAGCAGGCTCTGGCGGCGCCAAGAGATGGAGCAGTTCTTCGGCCGGCAGCTCGGCAGGCCGCCGGCCGGATTCAAGGTCTAGAAGCAGAGAGCAGGCGGCTAGGGCAAGAGTTCCGAGGCTCTTTGGCCGCGCTTCCGGCAGCGATCGACCAGATGGGAGCCGAGATTGCGCGCGGAGAGGCTCGGCAAGCCCGCGATCTTGGCGGGCAACAAAGAGAAACGCGTTGTCGGATTCTTCGGCGAGACGTTTCGCATAGCGCTTCGATTCGCAGGCGAGTCCGAAGGCCCCGACAGGATCGAGGCCGCGGCCGACGAGAACCCGAACGAGGGCGATCTCGAGAACGAGGTCAACCAGTTGCACGTGGCGCTGATTTCGACCGCCGCCGATATGGAGCGAGTCGAACGGCATCGCTATTGGAGCCCCCGGCGGGAACGGTCTCGAGGCATGGCGGAAGTGGCGCCGCAGGTGGGGCCCAACCACCGGTTCGCGCAAGCGCGCGATTCTCCGCGGCATCATTACCACGCCGAGATGCAGCACGGAGGCTGCTCGTAGGCGCCGCGCCCAAGAAGTGGATCCTGCAGATCAGCAGGCGCGAGAAGCGGAGGGACGACGACAGGCAGTTCTTGCGCATCCCCGTGGACATCAAGATCTTCGCGCCGGAGATGTTGGCGCCTCTGGACCTCGAGAACAATCTCGTGCTCAACTGGCGTTGGTTGAAGACGTTCCAGGAGTGCTGCGCGTGATCGCAGGCGTCGCGGAGGCTAGAACTGGCGTCGCGATCAGGGGGCCACCCATCAAAGAGCGAAGCTCCTGGGACCCGAACGCCGCGGACACGTCGAGCTTCGCGCGCCCCGAGGGGGCGAAAGGCATTGGCCCCGAGGGCGAGGCGAAAGGGCCCCGAGGGCAATGGCAAGGGCCCCCAAGGGCAAAGCCAGAGGCAAGAGGGCTCACGGAGTCAAGGATTGCCCTCCGCCCCCCAGCAATGCCCGACGGGCGCGCAAAATGGCGCAGACAACGCGGGGCAGCGGAACGAGATGAAAAGTTACAACGGGCATTGCCACACTTGCGATCAACGGGGCCACAGAGCATGAGGTTGCTGGAGGAAAGGACGGGTCTGGGGCGTTTGGGGCTGGGCCCGGAAGGGGGGCGCTCGCTGGCGGCGAAGGCCGCGGCGACTCCGGAAGGGGCGGCAAGGCCGCCGGCAGCTCCGAAGAACCGGAGGTAGAAGTCGCCGCGCTGGGCGCGGGGTGCTCCGAGGAGGCATGCGCCGAGGCCGAAGTGGAGGTGCTGTCGCCCCTATCCGGAGACAAGGGCGAGTGGCCGAAGTTAAATTACGACAGTGGGGCGGCTGCGACCGTCCTGCTCAGGGCACTCGCGCCCGCAGAGAGCACGCAGGACAACGGCAGCTCCTGCAAGACAGCGAGCGACGGGCGAGATGGTGAAGGACGAGGGGCGCGCGCAGATCCGGATGGAAGACCAGCTTGGGGGGCTGAGGGATCTGGCGGGCCGAATCGCCAACGCGCGCAAGCCGTTGGTCTCGGTACGGGGCGGCGTCCGTTCTTGAGACGCCCCGGCGGGTGCATCTTTCACGAGGAGAGCCTAATCTGAAGGGGGGTCGATGACGTGATCAGGAAGGAATCGGCCAAGAGCGGCCACGATGCTCGCTGCTGAGCGGTGCCGCAGTCGCCGGGGCAGCCGCGGCGGCGCGGCGCAGCGCCGCCCAGCCGAGCCGAGGGAGATCCTCGATGGGCACCTAGACGAGGCGGCTCAAGACGAGCCGCTCGAGGAGCAGGGCGAGGTTCGAGCGCCGAAGGCACCTCGCGAACCCTCGCAGCAGCACGTCGAAGAGCACGGGGCCACTGGCCATGTTGCGCGCCGGAAGTCGCGGCGGGCCAACGGCAGCTCGCTGCGCGGGCCAGCGGCATTTGCGCGCGCCTGCCTGAGGAGGGTGAGATTGCCGATGGTGATTCTTGCCCTCAGAGATAGGCGGTCGAAGTTGCGCGCCGCCGCGCTCTTGCCCAGGATGGGCGAGGACGACCACGCAGCGAAGTGTTTCGCAAGTTTCCTGGGGCAGCTGGGCCACCGCAAGGACGTGCTCAAATCGAGCGGGGAGCGCGCCATCGTGCTGCTGGAGAGTCTCGCGGGTCGGTTGGTCGAGGGCCTTGAGGCGACGCCCGCGGAGTCGCCGCCGACGGATCACCCGGCAACTTGCGAGATCGAGGCGATGGTTCGAGAGGTCATGCGGCGGGCTCGCGCCATCGAGATGGACGCGGAATTAAAGCTGCAGATGAAGCTTGACAAGTGCCATCCCGTCTTGGCGCACCTTCCAGAGCACGCGGCGTCGGTCATGAAGCGGTGCCAGGAAGGGCCTGGGCGGCAAGGCGCCGCTGCAGCGCCTGGCGGGCACGCAGCGGCGCAAGCCGGCCATGAGTTTCGGAGGGGGGGGGGGGGGTATCTCGCGAGGCCGGCCGGGGGGGCCAGGCGGAAAAAGGCGCTCAACGAGGAGATGATCGGTTGGGAGGTGCATCGGCCACCATCCCAGCTCGATCAGGACCCAGCTCGATCAGGATCATCGCCAGCGACGGGGTGAAGAAGACTCTCGGCTATCGCTCTCAGCCGCCGGCCGAGCGCTAGAGCGCGGGCGGGCGCGGCGAACTCAGGGGGCTGGCAGAGGGTGGCGCAGACTGGGTTTGGACCCGGCGGAGGCGGGCCCGCCGCCTATCGCGCAGGTGGCGCCGATTCCGCCGGCGCCGAGACGGGCGCGCACGCTGGGGGCCCACGTCGAGAAGTTCGGGCCCGCGCCAGGCTGCGAAGGGCGCGGGGGCATCATCGCGCGCGGGAAGGCCCCGGCAGGGCACCGCCATGGCGATCGAGGCGGACATTCGGGCAGTTGGAGTTGGGGGCAGAAGCGCAGGAGCGGATCGGTCAGCGCCGAACCCGCCGACGGGCCCAGGCGGCGGCTCGCGCGAGAGGGGTTGCGGCAGCAGCCGCGCCGCCAGCGGAAGATGGGCCTCGAGTCGAGGTCCGGGGTCCGAAAGTAGCTCGGAGTGCCGCGGCGGGGTCGCCACCCGACCAGGTGGCAGACGCGGCGATGGGGGGGGCCCATCGAACCGCGGGCCGGCAGCGGCAGCCCCTGGAGGAGGAGGCGGAGGAGGAGGGGGGGGAGGAGGGGGAGGAGGAGGATCGAGGCGACGCCGCCTGCAGCAGGCTCAGGGCGGCGCTCCGGAGGCGAGCTCGGCAAGCGTCAGCCGACCGAAGCGTCGGGCAGAGGTGCCCTTGCAGGACGTGCCGGAGAACGCAGAGCGAGGCGACGCGGCGGCGGACGCGCCAGGGCCGGTCGATATGGAAGACCCGGCAGCAGCGGCAGAGCCGCCCCAGGCGCCAGGAACGACAGCAGCAGCCGTGCAGCCGCCCAGCGCACATTGGAGCCCCACGTTGAGGCGGTGCGCAACAGCGCCGGCGCTGGGCGCGGCCGTCCCGGAGCTGGTGGAGAATGGAAGGTCTCGGAGACCATGGCTGGATTGCGCCGGCCGGTGTCCGAGCAGACGAGGTCGCACTGGGCCAACGTGGCGCGCGACATCGACGACGAGGAGATCGCGGACATCGCGGCGCGGCGCTTCAGCTGGGGGCCGTGGCTCGGGCGGCATTTCATTCCGCGCGCCGCTTCTCGGTGAAAGCTGCTGCGTTCGAGGTCCGCCCAGGTCTCGCGGCTGACTTGGAAGAGCCGACGCGTGACGGACCGCCTTGGGGCGCGACCGGGGGCGAGGGCGTCGAGGAGCTCAAGCAGCTCCGGGAGAGGGGGGATTATATGCTTCATGGCTCTCCGCCGGCTTTTCTTTTCTCAGCGCGCTGGGCCACCTCGGCGGCGGGCGCCGCGCGGGGGCCGAGCGTGCCGCCGACCCGGCGACGACGCGGGGCTACCTGCAGGTGGCCACCGGCGCTTACGAGAGGCAGGTGATGCAGGGGGATGGCCATTTCTTGCACGAGCACCCGTGCAGTTGCAGTTCACGGCAGGGGCCCGTCATCAGGGAGCTGATGGCCATGGAGGGCGCCTGCTCGATCATGGGGCCCGCGCGCCGCTGGGTCACGGGGGCGACGGGCCCGAGGACAGCGCCGCCGACGGAGGCATTTGTGCGGGATGAAGCCGGATGGCTTACCAACCATCCTGGGTTGGCTCCCAGGCTGGAGCCAGGACATGACTTATAAGTGTGGCATCGCCATGTCGACGTCGTCAGGGGAGTTGTCAAATTCGCGAAGATTTATGCGCCGAAGCTCCTGTCGGCAGTTCTCGATCGACGAGCTGGCGTCGACGCTGCAGTCGATTGTGGAGCTGACCAACCAAGGTCTCCGGGAGTCGGTGCCGGTGCCGCGGGAGCTGGCTATTCCGGGCGGGGACTGGGCGATGTTCTGGGGCGACGGTCAATGGTGGTTACTTGAATCCAGCAGGTTAGAGCGGCGCGAGAGGTTGGACGCCAATGGGTCAAGAAGCAGGAGCTGATTGAGATCGCCCCTCGCAGCGCGTGCTTCGAGGAGACCGGCAGGGCGCCTATCCCACTGAAGTGGGTCGACGCGAAGTGCGACCACCGGCAGGAGAACTGCCGCAGCAGGCCAGCGGCGAAGGAGATCAAGGCGAAGAAAGCGGCCCATGAGAAGCTCGGCGCCGCGGAGGTTTTCTCCGCGACGCCGCCCCTGGAGGCGATGGGGGCCTCGATGTCGCCAATGATCGCGCGGGGGCGGCAGGCGCCGCCCCGTGCCCGGGAGAAGCTGGCCAAGATGAGCCGGAAGCCGGGCAATTTTAGATTGCGACTTCGACGTCAGTAGGGCCCGTTCTTAAGGCGAGGCGAAGCGGCGGACCTTCGCGGCGTTCGAAGAGGGTGAGCCGGTTGGAGCGCGGCGAGGACACATGCGGGCCCCTCCTGAAATCATGGCATCACACGCAGGACGCAGGCAACATCTGGCAGGGAGACGACGCGGAGTTGCTCAGCAACCATGGCTACATGCCTGCAGTCGCCTCCCTGGCCGTGTTCTATCATGAGGAGGAGGTTAGATTGTTAAGTCGCGCCATGGAGATGACTTGACTTGTTGGCTCATGAACAGCAGGGGGGCATCGACAACTTCGAGATGGGACTGGGGACCAAATGCGAGTTCAGGAAGACGGCCAGCCGCGGATTCGACGACAGCGGCGACAAGACAGCGACGTTCCTCAGCCGGGTCGTCGAGGTCAGCGCCGGGGTTTTGCCCGGCGGTCATCGACCGAAGCTGCGTGCGATCATCGAGCTTGGCGCTCGACATGCCGCGATCATCGTGGAAGAGTTGGAGCTGCATAAGGACAATGGCGTGGAAACCCCGAGCGTGAAGGGGGGCGCGCGCAAGCATATAACCGACTCATAGTCTGCCGTCCTGGGAGCGCAGAAGCGGCCAGGAACCGATTGATCACCATGAGGACTGCGTATCTTGCCAAAGACAGGGCCGACTTGGCCGAGGCGTCAGAGACGCCCGCGCGGTGCATGCATGTGCCTTTGGAGGCGATTTGGCGAGTTGGCAGATGCTCAGGAGAGTAGACAGGCACGCCAAGAAGTAACCGAACAGAGTGTTAGTCTGCACGGAGCAGACCGCGTTCGAGAAGATCCGCGCGCACGCGGACAGGACGAACACAGGAGGTTTCGAGGCCATGCTGGAACACCACATGGCGAAGCAAGGATGCAATCTACAGTCCGCGCTGGCGCTCAGCAGCGGGGAGAGCGAGTATTGCGGTCTCGTGCAGAGTGGATGCGTGGGTCTGGGCCTTTACAGCCTCATGCTGGACTGGATTTCCATCGAAGGTGGATTCCGCCTCAGATTCGCCCGCTGCGCGAGGACAAGCACAGAAACGCGGTCTAGGGAAAATGCGACACTTGCAATCTAGGTTCTCGTGGATTCAGGAGCGCTTGGCGGAAGGAGGTTTGGCCATGGCAGCAGCACGTGGGCCACGGAACGCGGCGGACATCCAGGCGAATAGCGCTGGATGTGCTTTGCCACGTCGAAAGCTGGCGGCATTGAATGCGCGGGCCAGGGAAGCGCTGCATCAGCATCCACAAGGCGACGCTGCGAACGAGATGCAGGGACTGATTCCACACCTCGCGCTACCACATGGTCACGCGGCAGCTGGCCGCCGGCCGTTCTCCTGAGCGCGGGGGCGCGGCGGACCGCCGCCCTTCCTATAGCAAGGGCACCCGCTATATTTGAGCGCTGACGGGCCTCGCAGGTGGAGCCTCGGCGGGTCAGCGCCGGAGCCCGAGGAGGAGTGATGAAATTTCGGCGGGGGGGGCGTCGACCAGATAGGTTGCCGCGGGAGCACCGTTTATCAAGCAGTGGCGAAGCGTCCTGGTTCGCCTATAGCCCCACCAAAGAATGTTCTAATATTGGTTTGTGTGTTTTT